GTTCGCTTGGGTAGATCATGAAGAATGGCTTCTTTTAAAAATAGTCTCGTTTAAAAGTCGAGGATAGTACACTATTCGGTGCTAATGTAACCATAACTGCTTGCTGTAACGTCTCATGGGTTGGGTACTTGTGCAAATGCATTCCACCAATAACCACATCTGGCAGATCTTGTCTGCGAAAACATGTATCCATCGGCCGATTGGTCAGTCTATATTTAGAGCCCTCCATCGCTTCATATAGTCGTTAATATTTCCAGCCATCCACGCATTCATATAAGCCGATTTTGCCGACCAGACGAGCGTCTTTACGCTCGACCGATGCACGTGATGGTCGCCACAGCACCTGGTGATAGCAAACTGTGACTGACTTCGTCTCTGGGCCGTAGCAAGATCGTCTGGAGCGCTAAGCTGGCTTCCCTTTCCCTGGCCAGGCATTACGATCTGTGTTGGCCGTGATTATGAAAGTGCCGAGAGGGCCAACAGGCTCCAACGAGGGGACAGAGCAACCGATTTTTTGTCAGAATGACAGTGTTTAAGGTCGGGAGGCTGGTGGGATGCGATACGCATACTTCATTGAAGTAATCTGTCCTTGGACATTGGTTCAGCAGGCCATGTCAGTTCAGTCTAAAGTATGAAGACCAAACAGGGGTGATCTTTGCTGTGGTCACGACGTCTTTTTGCTTGACTTCATTTTCCCAATTCGGTCGTGTTGCCATAGCATCCGGCCTAATTTCCAGCATCGAGCTGAGGGCTTGGTCCACTCACAGACGCTTCGCCGGCAGCGTTTTCGGCATCGTGAGCGAGTCTTGCCGTTTTCAGGACAAAACCGAAAGTCACCAAAGGCTCACCGCCGAAGCCGGCGAGGTGCCTGAGAATGTACCAAGTCCGCGGCCTGACACTGGAAATGATCATAGATACTATGAAAAAGGACTACAGACATGCTTATTTTGGGTTATTTGACGTTATGCGAAGAAAAGTTGGGTTTCGAGGACTCTAATCCTTCATAAACGTTGAGCCTACTTTCATTTTGAGTGAAAGTGTTGGGTGAAGAGATTCGAAGGTCGGTTCCACCAGAAGATGACGGCGGATTCGTCTTGACCAGCTGTCGATTGGCCTTACTGGAACATGCTTGTTGACGCTGTTTCCGAGGTAATTTACTTCGATTCCGGGGAAATGGTGCTAAGGTTTCGTCTATCATGTGACGAACATCATCAGAGCAAGGTATCATCGTCACAAAAAAAGTGAAGCTAACAAGTCAAGGAGTCAGATTGTCAAGAGGAATTTGCCGTCGTTTTCTGGTCGAATCGACCTTCGAATCTCTTCACCAAACACGTTCACTCGAAATAGAAGTAAGCTCAAAAATTGTTTTACTTTATATGGTCACTCAAAATGATGAACTTAGAAACTGGACAGATGGGCTTGGCGAGTAAGATGCAGTGGTAGGGCCATTTGCCAAAGGGAGGCACATGAATACAACAAACACACCAGTTGTGGGTTTATTTGGGCGAACGAATTAAATGGAAAATATATACCTTAGGGTGCGATCGCCGGCAATATGCCTCATGAGAGAGGAAAGTTGACCCTTTTCCATCATAATAACGACTATTGTGCAAACTTTCATTATGACGAGATTCGTAGGTCAATCTCACCAGAAGACGTCGGCTAATTCGCGTTTTACTACAACTGTTTGGTGCTATTGCTACGTTTACGTTGATATACTCCACGCATCCCCTACATTTTCTGCCGAAGATGAGCTCAGCTTTCGTTAGTCATGTGACGAGCATCTTCTAAGCTGGGACTCATTCTGACAAAAGCCTCAAGTTAACAGTATGTCAAGAAGACTGACCGACATTTTTAAAATGATATCTATACTCATTGCGAGGAATTTATTTGGATATAGCAAGGTTTGGTTAGCTGATTTATACTCGATTGGGCCTGTGTGTGCAAGTATGCATCGTGTACAGACGTTAACATACATACGCACAACCTTTTTATATGCATCTAAATATAAAGAATTTTTTCGGGGTGAGTATATATCATATAGAAAAAGCCTATCGGCCCTCTTGACTTAGTGTTAACTTTAGGCCTTTACAAAAGTGGAATCCAACTCTGACGATATTCTTCGCA